GCGAAGGAGAAGAGAGAGCGGAGTGAGAGGGAGAGAGAGGGGAGAGGGAGGAGAGGAAGAAGCACGGGAGCGGAGGAGGGAGCGGAAGGAAAGGGGAAGGCGAGGGAGAGGGAGGAGAGGGAGGGAGGAAGGAGCAGGAGAGGAGGGACATGAAGAGGAGGGAGAAGGAGAGGGAGAGGAGGGGGATGAGAGAGGGAGGAGAAGGGAGGGAGAGGGAAGAGGAGAGCGAGGGGGAAGGAGGGAGACGAGAAGAGAAGGGATATAAATAGCAGAACCACGTCTGCCGGTCGGCCCTTGACATCTTATATGGATCTAGATCTATGACACAGCGCTTTTTTAAAGATCGGCGCTGGTTTTGTAAACACTGAGAGCGGGAGCAGGAGAGGCGGTGAGAGACAAACCAATGGCTCCTGCTGCGATTCTCCATGCAAAGCCGTTTGGACGCCTCTTCGGAGAAACAGGGGGCGAAAAACCATTTTCTTTCAGGCTTCGCTGCTTGGACAGCTAACTCCAGTCTCATTAGCGCTCGCGTTCGTAGCTTGATGCGAAGTGCTTGAGAAATGGCCTATTCAAACGCGAAATCGTCCCGGAAATGGCGAAAGAAACAAACTTTAGAGAAAATGCAGTAAAAGTGCTCCCTTTTAACGCTTTCATAAGGAGTGCGCATTGTTCAGAAATTAATACAATTTCTTACAAGCATACAAAGTGTTGTTTGTTGTGATTTGGAAAGGCTTCACGAACATAAAAATGAATTTGCCGGACTAGATGGCTGACAAGTGTTGTGGCCAACTTTAAGTAACAAAAAACGCAATGTAGTTCGAACAGTTCTAGTTACAAACAACTGTTTAAGTCTATTAAATGATAGCATTTATTGGGGCTTATAATTCTTTTATATCTCATTATTGATACATAATATAATAAAACCGATTGCACTGGAGACGCGAATGAGAGAATAATGCGTTGCCTCAATAGTGTCACCCAACCAAAGGAAGACTCTCAGGTGGTGTAAATGTAATAAGAATGTAACAAATGTAATAAAAGATGCCCCGTTGACCATGCAAATAACTGAGATATCCTTTTGCGAGATATCTGCAAGTACCGAGAACGCCTGTCCCAATATATTTAAATACATGAAACGGGGAGTGTAATTAACCAAACTTTTAATTATAACCTACAAATTAAAGATAGAAAACTCTAATAAATATTATTAGTGCTATATTCATTTTGTTGCGTTGAAAGTCAAGTGGCAAGGAATTATTAATTTATGTCGTAGATATTAACATCATGAAGATACAACCATTAATATTCAATATCAATAAATACAACAGTTAATAATCGGGTATGCGTACATTTACTAACTACAATTCGACACGAAGCATTCTACTATACCGAATGATGTTAAAAAAGTTCCAGTTTATTCGATATTATTAGTCAAGTTTACTCTAGGATTTAGTACTTTTAGCTCCTTTCACTAAATACTGTTTTTGGCGACTACAAAGAGCATTTTATTGGTCAACTCCCTTCCAACTTCAATGTTGCAAACGGTTTTTTGCCCAAAGCGTTTATCCATACTACTTCTCCAGAGACTACATTCGCGTCTACAACTGGACCTGTCCAAACAGACTGAATTCAAAAATTCGTTGCCTCTGAAAAATTCCAGGACGATCTCTCTCTCTCTAGTCCACAGCATGATGGCAACTGACTGGAAGGAGAAAAAAACTTGGGAACTTCTCCCTCCAGACGCGCCCCCTCTCGCCCCTCTAACCAACCCAACTCACCGCGCGGGAATTTTTTCAAATAAGTAAGTTTCTCTGGCGCACCCTGTACTTTACATGTTGTAATATTTATTGGGAGATGAATATTTATGGAATTTTTATAATGTAGGTACTACTTTTGGTAAAATGAAGGTACTACTTTCTCTAACGTCTTCACTTAACAATTACGATTTTTTTGATGTGACATAATTATTGCAGCGAAAATATCTACATATACATAAAGTGCCTTTTAAAAAAGAATTTTCTGGTACTAGATGATATGACATATTGTGTACAATCCAATAGAAATCTCATAACACTGGTGCAATTAAAAATCAGCCATTAAATTAAAGCTTGACCAAATAATTCCGATTTCTCATTTTGTCCAAAAAAGTGGTCGGGTCTTCGAATAAAAAATATTACATACAAATATTGATATACTTCATAAAACATAAAACCCATATAACCTTATTAGGCATTAAATAGTACGCAGTATACCGACATACTATTAACTTGAGCAGTGCAGTCTCATTTTAACGTAAGTGATCGAACAGTGTTCAACGGACACCAGGCTAAAACCAATTTTATAGTATATATTTATTAAACCCAGAAACAATCGGGCAGTGGCAGATGCTTAGTAAACCCGTACGTTCTAGAAAATGTGAAAAATATTCTATTTTATTGAATGTATTATCCACATAGAAGAAACTACTTTGTGTGTTTATGGCTTATATAATGCATTATCGGATCGTCAGGTTAGTAGAAAGACACTTTTACCCATTTTGAAACAAACAATTTTTACAACTCCTTTTTGAAAAGAAGAATCACTGTATATTTGCTGGAAATTACTGTAATATTTCTATTGTATTTTATTTCTCAGAAATTGCACGATGAAAGCTGTGTATTAGTGATGCCGATCACTCACAGTAATTTTAATGTTGAATTTATTTACTTAGCAAAAGTGAATTTTTCTTCAATGGTACAAGAAACTCCAGAGTTATGATTCATAACGCATCAGAAAAATAGTTCATGTCAAAACAAGAACTTGTGACAGTGGTATACAAAGACCATCTACGAAATTACTTAATGTCTATATTTTTTTACGTTACTTGGTAAAAAATTCCGCTAAGGTGATCAAAAAATTAAATCACTTCGAAAGCTTTCAAACTATTCCTGACATACTTCCATCTATGTGGATGGTGTGGGAGCTTCACAATCGGTATCAAACTCTAGTCACTTTGCTCTTTATATTTCCCCATATCCAAAAGCTACCTTAACTAATACGTGTGACGGGGTAGGGGGTGGGGGAGGGGGGCCATGCGGGCGCGGGCGCTCACGCCGAGCACGAAGCGCTGCTAACCTAGCGGGTAGCGCGGGTAAGTCTTACCCGAGACGATCATGTCCCCGCGCTCGGTGGTCCAGTAGTTGATGGAGGTGGGGTACGCCTCCGTGTGGCACTCCAGCTGCACGTCCTGCCCCAAATACGCTCCCTCCAGCTGGTTGGGGATGGAGAGCATGGGCGGGACTGCAACAGACCACACTCTGCGTTAGCGCTTCTTTAGCTCTCAGAAGCAGGGAGCTATTTCATTCACATTTATCATAACATTTTTATTCCAGTTACTATTCTTCTAGTGAAGAATTCTTTGTATTTTTAAAATGTTTCAAGAACATGGTAACATACAGTAGAATACCAAACGAACAAGAGTGGAGTGAAGCCAATACAGAAAATAATTATACAACATGTGAGAGAAAACGAAATAAGGAAATGTAAACTTCCCAAACATTTTGAATCTATTTTTTTGCTAGTAATTATCATAAAGTGAGTGTTCCAGAAGTAGATGCTTTTACATTATTTCCAACAGGCAGGATTCGTTCCAGTATCCGAAAGTTCTAGAAATAAGGGTAGGGAAGTTATTCGAGGTACATTGGTTGAACACGTCTCCTCCATTTCGATTCCACGAACGTAGCGAGAGGGAGTGCTCATGCTCTCGAGTTAATTTCTTTGTGTCAATACCTCTGCCCGTGCGGTGTAACGTCCGTAGTTTCGAATACCTCTGGGCTCGCTCGTCTCTCGGTTTTGGCAGCGGCATTCGCCATTTGTCAATATTGAAAAATGGGTCATGCGAATCTGCGAATTCCGAGAATCCTAAAAAAATTTTCTACTAAGGTTATAGTAACTAACTTTTCCCTGATTAAGTGGTTGAATAAATATATTTGAAAATATACAATTGAAGTTGTAGGAGCAATAAAAATATTCGGTTCAACATTCAATTATAATTGCACGATACAAGAAACAAGAAATAAACTCATTTGAAATAAACGATAGATGTTCCGTATTTGGGATTTTTCCCAGAACTAGATTCGGTTTATTTATTCAAAGTCCATTAACTAGACGTTAGGATTCATCGTGACATTGCAATTGCATTTATGAAAGAATAATCTCCTTTAAAGAGTAGTATTCATGATTTTGCTCTCATTTTGAAACATTTTAAATGTCAACTCTTCATGTTTTTTGTCTTTTGTCCTTGAGAAATAATTGTCTCAAGTGATATCCATTTTATTGAGTAATGATCGTTGATGTTTCAATATCATTCATTTATCTTTTAAAGATGCAACATTTTTCACATTATTCTTTTCTCTATCACGTTTCCCGAGTTTTCTTTATCTTATTTTCTTTCTGTTATTCCTCAAATCCATCTAAATGTAAATAAGAGATGGTAGGATTATGAAAATTCGAAATTAAATTTATTTCATTTATTTTGATAAAAGTTTCTGAGAAGAGGATTGTGGGGAAAACAATATTTAGAGAAACATATTCACAAACCAAAGCTACTACATATTGATGGATTCGTCGGATCTGAATGAATTTAAACTCAATTGTACAAATACGACTGTGATGGTATACTCAAGTACCCAGTTGAATTTTTAACTAGCTATTAACTTTGTTGTTTAATTCTAGAGCCTTGGAATGATTTATTCGAAATATTCCTCAAAGTTATTACTGATTACCTCATATGACAAGGATTACCGCAAAATTCATTAAGTCTATTTCTTTTTTAATTCTTTCCCTCACTCAAGAATTCATCTACGTAATTTACATCCAATAAAGTAATGTACAAATAAATATGGGGCCCTGTGAATCAGTTTACACTTTAATTAGAAAAACAAAAGGTGGTAGTCAATCTACTTATCTTCTATACAGTTTGAAAGAAACGTGGAAAAATTCTGAATATGTGCCTTTTGAAGCTTAAGATGTATACGAAATACAAAATAACATAAGACCTAACAAAAATCAAAAGTCTTAAACAATATATCCCCACCTCATGGGGATAATACCATTAATTGATGGGTATTAAATAATTCAGCTTAATAACTCTATGAATTTTGATTGGGATACAGTCGGTGAGACATCTTGTAGTCTAGTGTATCAACAGTATTTATTTCATTAAAACAAAGTGTTTTGCTATACTTAATTATAAGACATCGTTTTTAAACGACATTGATTCCGATCAGTCTGAAAGTTTAAAAAGGAGGCTTCCAAACAAAGTAAAAACGCGTTGTTTTTAATTTTAATAGTGTAAGTTATATTTTTTATATCAAAAGTTAATAGCAAGAAAGTTGACGCATGTAGAAAAATGAAGAGTGGAAATAGAAAAGGATTTAAGTGCAATTTCAGTTAAATTTACGTTTTTACCAGAATAATAAATTCGTAACATATGAACTATATTACCTTTGAAGTCCGCGGCAAATTGAATACAATTTTTGTTTGTTATAACGAACGAATATAGCGAAAGACGACTTATAGACGGATATAACGGATTCCATTCCATCTCTATCCTCCTTTTACCTCCGTGAGTCACTCCCGCCTCCCACTCCCCTTCCGTGCGCGCGCACGCGCCCCGCGGGCGTGGGGCGGGGCGGAGCGAGCCATCGGCATGGCAGGCGCGCCTGTTTATCTGCGTTTCCCGGAAAACGTGATGAAACAAAAACTGGTGTCTCTCCGGCGACGCCGCCGCCGCCTCAGCCGCGTGGCCGAGCCGGCACCGGCGGCTTTTTGAAGCGGCCCCAGAAAGGCGCGCCTCTTTTAATTATTGTCGAAAGCCGCCGCGCTTGCGGCGGCGGTGCGGGGAGTGGAGTTGGCGGGTCCCGGGGAGAAAGCAGGGGAGAGGGGGACGGTTAGGGGTGGCGGGGCGGCAAAGTGCGTAGTTTTGGCGGGGCGGCGGGGCGGCGGGGCGGGCGGGGAACGGCGGGGGCGCCGCGGGGGGGCTGCTGGAAGCGCGCAGGGCGGCGCCGACGGCGGGGCGGCTGGCGCGGGCGTGAGCGAAAGCTGGGACGCGGGAGTGGCAGAGTGGCGGGGACGGCTGTGGTGAGGGGAAGCAGAGCATGGCAGTGGGCGCTTGACCGTGCGGCGCGCGATCTCTCTC